TTTTTTTTTTTTTTTTTTTTGGTACCGGGGATTGAACTTGGGTCCTTGTGCTTGCAAGGAAGGCGGCGGAACCACTGAGCTAAATCCCCAGCCCTCAGAATGCATGTTAATGTTGTGAAACTGCATTGACCTAATTAAACTATGTGAAAAAGTCAGTTTGGGAAAAAATTTGGGAAGTGGAGATCTGCTATTGTAAGATATTCCTTTGACACGTGAAAGAGTCAATATTCACAAGGTCAGTGACCAGACCACATATGATAAAGAACTTTGACCCACAACCTCTGTAGCAATTGGCCTAAAACAATCAGGACTTGATCAATGACTGCCAACCTCCCTAATTTTTGCTCCTGCCTCCATCTCAGAACAAAATAGAGAAGGCCTAATAAGCTTCTCAAACAAATCACACAAGGATGCCCTGCTTCAAGTTAGTTGGCCTCCTGCTTCTCTATGTGAACCATCTACCATGAGGACATACTCAAAACTTCCTTTTCTTTTGTTACAAAGTTTTCCCACATTCTTGTCTATTTTAAGTCTTTGTCAACACAAGTGGTCATGGCTAACTCCCTTGCTATAACACTCTGAATAAATAACCTTTGCTTTCAGCCTTTGCTTATTTTCACTTGTACTTTAATAACCAACCACTATTTCTAAAACTAAACAGAATACATTTACCTATTAACAAATTCTTTTTCTCAACTTTGTAGTGTTGGTTGACTCTGCCCGAAATTCTCCTCCTCCCATAAATTCCCCATTTATTATTAGTACATATCGGTTATACAGATTAATGAGTCTCACTTTGGCAGATGTGTACAAACACATTACATATTTTAATCATTTCCCTCATCAACCCCCTGAACTCAGCCCTCCTCTTAGATTCACATGTTTCTGTGGGGGATTTCAATGTGTATAATGCATTTGATATATACCAATAACCCTCCCATATATTCATCATTCCCAAATACTAATTAGTTATTAACTTCCTCTATTTGATCACCAGCATTTAACTAGTAGATTTCTTTAGATGTTTCTTATACTTATTTTATCTGATAACATCAAAATATGGCAAATGTTTAAATTAAAATTAAAATATTTATTACAGTAAGAGACACATTGCCATTATTCCCCATCAGAATATTCCCACTTGCTTTGAACACATTTGTCCCATCATTTTAGTCCCTTCCTGAAGCAGCTCTGGAAGTCTCTTTTATGTGTTTTTGTTGGGTGTGATAAAAAGTATGGTGAATGTTGCTGCTGAGTGCCATCCAAAGAAAAGGCAGGCTTGTAAAAACAGCATGTCCCTCTCTACCTTATTCTCTGGATCTGACACCAGGCAACTTCTGGCTCTTCCCCAAAGTTGAAATGACCATGAAAGGTAAATGTTTTGAATTAATTCAGGACATCAAGGCAGCCATGACAGAGTAACTAAAAACACTTATGAAAAAGTCTTCCAAAACTACTTCCAAAAAGCGGCAAGAGCAATTTGGTAAGTGTGTTTGAATAGAAGGAGAATATTTTGTAGGGGGATAATGGCAATGTGCCTTTTACTGTAATATATTTTTTAAAAATTGAATATTTACTGTATTTGTTGATTGTACATGGTTCTATTTCATTGCACCTGTTCCTCTTTCAAGAGGAGATAGCTTCTTAAAACAGTGATTTTTTTTTTTCAAGTTGAACTGTGTATCAACCAACCAGCTGATCAAGGTCCCCTAAGTTTTCTCTAGGTGTGAGATCTGGGTGCTTTTGTGTTTTTGAAAAGATTTCCTAGGTGTTCTGTGTGTAGTTAAGGCTGAGAACTATTGCTGGATCAAACCCAGTGTCCTTCACTCTGATAGTCAAGGCTATCAAATTGCTTGTCCCACAACTGGCAAACTCTTATCAATATTTCTCAAGCTTCTTTGATAGGAACAACATGGGCACCTGTTAAATCCCATCTTCCCTTGGCTGTATCTCAGAATGACTCACTCTTTGTGGGATGGCCCTGATAAGTGGTGTGTAGTCAAGTGCTTCACTGATTCCTGGGTTTAGGGATGGTGGAAACTGGCTGTAGAGTACCTTGCAGCCTCCAAACATCGATGTGCCTATGAATCCCCAGGGGCTCCTGGTGTGCAAATTCTGATTAGTAGCCAAGGAGGGGCAGCTGGAGTCTGCAGCGCCAAACCCCAGGTGCTGTCAGCCCAAGACCCATCCTTGAGTATACGTGACTGCCCAATGCAGTCACCCAGGGAGCCTCCCAAACTGAGGTTTAGGACTTATTCCCAGAAAGTCTCATTTAATTGGTCTGGGTATAGCTTGGGGAAATAAGGATTTAAGAAAGATCCCAGGTGAGAGTGGTGTGCTGTTATGGCTGAGAACCAATGGTGTATAGATTCTTCCCTGTGCCTACTTTTACTGTCATGCTGTCCTTGCCATCTGGATCATCTTTCTTTTTCACGTTCATTAAATAACATGCTATAATTTCTATCAAGCTCTGCTCAAAATATGGCTTCCTTTTCCAAGATGCCTTCTTTAATTAATTCAGTTTATCATGATCTTCCTCTCACTTTGATTTATTTTAGCACAAATGTGTACAATTTACACTCCATTATTATCCAATTACTTAAGGATATCTTTCAGATTATGTATGTATCCAAGTTTTGAACTCTGAAACTTGCCTGGAGGGTTTTGCAGACACCTGATAGTAATTTTGCTACATCAATGTTTTAATGTCAAGAAAATTATCCAAATTTTTGAAATAAGCGGAAGAGATTACTGTGTTTTGAAGCCCTAGTTTGACTTGACTCTTTACTGACCTGTGTATTTTACAACTTTTTAGTTGTAAAACTTTTTAAGCTAATTTGTCTATTTTACTCAGTAGATGTGCCAATAATATTTGTCTCTTGGAAAAGATAACCTCAAAGGTTATGGCATATTACACTGAAAGATATTCATCAGTTTTGAATGTAAGCCAGCAGTTTTATTCTAACATGTACTTATTAAAATGCCTATATACATCTCAATTGTTTCATCATTAATTCATGAGTTGAATAAAATATTTGATGTATTTGCTGGAATCATGATTTTTATCTTAAAATGTTTTAAAATAACGAAATTCTTAAATAAGAGTTTGACCAATGATATAATTTAGATTCTTAAAGCAAAGGATAAAGCTTTATATCTGAAGAAATGACATATGTTTTGAAACTATAAAGCAGAAAAATCAATAAATCAAACAACCTGTGAAAACCCCTACATGGTAATAATTTCAGAAGGAGTAAGCCATACAAATTTGCATGCTTGTAATCACGGATTAAGAGGGACAACCATTTTTAGCCTTTCCTTTTCCTCCCTGTGCAGTTCATCAATGAAAATAGAAATTCAGAATGCTAGGGCAATAATGAGAGGAGCCACCGCAGTGGAATCAAACAGTTCAAACTTTGGCTGTGTCCTTAGCAGCGATTCTTTGTGATTTTGGGTTAATAAATCCCTATGTCTGGTGCATAGTGGCTGCTCCATAAATGCTAGCACTCTTCTGCGTGAGCATATTTAGAGGACGAAGGAAGTGGACAATTGCCACCTAGATTGGAAGCCTCACTTATAGAGAAAGAGTTAAAAATGACTTAGTACTGTTTATATAGGGCCGTAAAAGCACCATCTGCTGGAACGAGCCAGTTCAGCTACCACGAAGCTGACGCACGCTAATGCTACACTGATAGGAGAGGACGGGCCCAGGTTTTGCTGTTCCTATCATTCATTATTCCATGAGCTGCCTTCCCGGGACCAGTCTCCAGTTTACCTATCACATAACCCAGTTGTTCAACATTTAAAGATTTGTTTTGGTGCTTAAATATTTATACTCTCCCCCAACCTTTTATTGCTATGGTTACCGCTGAAGGAAAAACAAGACTCAGGAGGTTACTGTGCGGTATATCAGCAGTTTTGGACTTCACCATTAGATTGGGGAAGATTTTATGTTGAATTAGAATCAGATGATTGGATTAATATTAAACTCTCATTTTGTATGATGAGGCTACTGTGCCTGGGAGAAAAGGATAAGGTCTATTCCTTTTTATACTCATCAGTCAGTGAAGAAAAGGCCACTTGCTTTGCAGCATACATTGCTGAGCCAGGAGTGAATAACAACAGATTCTGAACCATAGGGAGGGTTGCCTCCAAGAAAGTGTACAGCTGAAGGTTGTCCCAGTGGTAGAACCAACCTCATGATTTTTCCTGCTGCATCTCACAACACCTGTGTTTGGATCCTTGGTACCCATTAGGCGTAATGATGGGCTGATTCCACATCCCTGGGACATTTGGCCTCATTTGGATGATTCAAGAGAATAAAATATATGTCCCAGACACCTGCCAACTAGCGATAATAATAGCCCATATTTACATAATGTCTTTTTCCAAGAACGTTAAAGGCTCTTTTCTTTGACAATCTATTTCTGATATGGAGGGGGAGATAATCTCATTTTCATTTTGTAAAGTCATAGAATCCTGGTACGACCTAAATACCTGGCTCTTTTGGTAACTATTCCATATGCTAGATTTTGCTGCATGCTGAAATCACCTGGAGATCTTCAGTGACAAATGGATTCTTGGCTCTCATGTCAG